ATGGATTATACTGCAAAATCGTGCATGGAGGACAGTTGACAGAGTCGTTCGAAGTGAAGACCGGTGTTAGGCAAGGTTGCTTACTCTCACTCTTTCTCTTTCTCCTGGTGATCGACTGGATAATGAAGACGTTAACGTCTGAAAAGAAGCACGGGATACAATGGACATCTAGGATGCAGTTGGATGATCTAGACTTCGCAGATGATCTGGCCCTTCTATCCCAAACGCAACAACAAATGCAGGAGAAGACGAACAGTGTGGCAGCAGTCTCAGCAGCAGTAGGTCTCTATATACACAAAGGGAAAAGCAGGATTCTCCGATACAACACAGCATGCACCAATCCAATCACAATTGGCGGAGAAGATTTGAAAGACGCAAAAACCTTTACATATTTGGGCAGCATCATTGATGAACATGGTGGGTCTGATGCAGATGTGAAGGCGCGGATCGGCAAAGTAAGAGCAGCATATTTACAACTGAGGAACATCTGGAACTCAAAACAACTCTCTGTCAACCAACACCAAGGTCAGGATTTTCAATACAAATGTCGAGACAGTTCTACTGTATGGGGCAGAAACCTGGAGAACTACGAAAGTCATCATCCAGAAAATACAGGTGTTTATTAACAATTGTCTACGCAAAATACTTCGGATCCGTTGGCCGGACACTATTAGCAACAGCGCACTGTGGGCGAGAACAAACCAGATCCCAGTGGAAGAAGAAATCAGGAAGAAGCGCTGGAAGTGGATTGGATACACATTGAGGAAAGCACCCACAATACAAGCCCTCACATGGAATCCTCAAAGCCAAGGGAGAAGAGGAAGACCAAAGAACACATTACGTCAGGAAATGGAAATAGACATGAGAAAAATGAACAAGGATTGGATGGAACTAGAAAAGAAGGCCCTGGACAGAGTGGGTTGGAGAATGCTGGTCGGCGGCCTATGCTCCATTGTGAGTAACAGGCGTAAGTAAATAAGTAAGTAAGAGTGACATGTGTTCAAACAAGCTTAAGTAAAATATCATTAGTTGTAAAAACATTGCCTTTACCTATAAATAGTAAAAGTAACATCACAAGTAAAATTCACAATTATTTTCGCTCGCAATACTACGTGCATTCTAGTTTCAAAACATCTAAATGCCGGCAAACCGATGAAAGTAAAAAAAATAATACATTACGTTTGGCTGAGAATTGTTGGAATAATTAGGCAGCCAAGAAGCGTAATAAATGTCATCTCAGATAATAAACGAATCGTTGACAGAATATGTTACTCTAAACAATTTGTGTGTTGTATAATAGATAATCCCACTAAAAATTTAGAATATAGCATAAAAATACTTACTGTCAGTAGCAAGTCCCTCTTGAGTTTGTAAGTGAGCTATAATTCTCAAAATCAAATCCCTTTCACTTTCAGCATTTTTTATTTTCGTCTGTAAAATGATAAAAGTAACAAACTTCATTGAAATCATGAGCTGATCTAAGTTAGACCACCATTTAAAGCCTGGAAGCACTTGACGGTTGTTTCGTCCTAGTATGGAACTCCCCTACTATCCCGCACGCGGGAATCGAAACCAGAACCTTCGCTCTTGGGCGTGAACGCTTAACTTCCACAATCCCCCGCTAGTAATTATCATGCGCTTACTACTGAATGGCTTTGAAAAGAAGTTTCTGGAGTCCTGGTCAGTGACTGATGGAACTAATCCGTTTTGGGTGTGAGGTAGTTATCCACTGGAGACAATGGGAAATGGTCGGGCCATGTCTTGGATTGGTTAAAGTTGGACATTAACAACGTTGGACGCTGACTCAGTTTTCTAGAGGTTAAGCGTTAGAGCACGAGACCGAAGGTCCTGGGTTCAGTCCCCTCGTGCGGGATAGTGGATGTGCGCTGCTTAGGAGTCCCATGATGAGACAAAACGGGTGTCTTGTAATCGCAGGTTTTGAATGGCGTTCTAACTTAGATTGATTCATAGTTTCAATATAATTTACCAATCTCCACAATCTCTTACTCATAAATGAATTTAGTTTGCAACAAAAAAGCTCATATAACAGCTTAACCCTTAACTAAATGAAAATAGCCAACTCATACATTCCCTAAAAAATCTAATATTTGAAGGTATAATTGGATATATATGATTATAAGAATAACTAAAGATGCATCGATATATATAGTTCTTTTGTGTTTGGAAAATAACTAAGTAATTTTTAGCATACTGTTCCAGTATCAAACTACTACAGTTTGATTGTAAACCCCAACGAAATTATTGGATATGAATTTAAGATAATTTTTTTCTACAGTTAATTTAAAAGACATAAGCGATCAATAATTACTGTCCAAGTTTAATGTGTTAATTTTATTTGATATTTTTATATAAAATAGGATTAATATGTGACCTGAAACTATGATGAAAGTCTACATTCAACGCGTCTTTAAGTTAAAATTGAAACCAGACAATATTCGATATAAGATACATGTACTAATAGGGTGCATATCTAAATTTGAGAAAACTTATCTTATTTAAAAATATCAGGAGGAAACCTAGTTTTTCTTTTATTCAATATGGTCTCTTAATATGTATTTGATATCCGTCACAAGTAATTAGAGAAGACATCAATGAAGAAAATTAAGGTTTGTTTCTAAAACAAGAATGAAATACCATATAGTATCATGATGTTTCTTCACGACAGTTCGGTTATATTTATTGATTAGTAACCATATTTGACTGGCTAATACATTTTGACAGAATCTTAAGTAATGAACTGGTAAACTTCCCTATGAAAGTCTAATTGTCAGTTTTCTTATTCAAAGCACATTAATCCTGGTACACTAAAACGTCAAAAAGAATATACTATACTAGTAAATCTACAATACTGTAAAAAAATAGAGTAGTTCACTCAATAAACTAATGAACACAAATGAAATTTTATAAGAGCTAAAGTTCGTTTAAAGGCATAGAACAAAAAACTTTCACTTAAGAAAGGTCGTTTAATTGCTACGAAAATTCTAACAGAAAACTACAGTATGATCGCCAGTGGTTTTCATTCTGATTCATGTCTAATGACGTATCAAACCACCGAGTTGCACAATTTCCGTGAACCCAACTGGAGAGTCGTGGTGAACCGATGGATGCCAATGCTACATTTCACACTCCGGCACCATTTCATAAGCTGACCAATGACTCTGTACCAGGGTCGGTAAACTACAGACTGTTTGGAAGCCACCTGCATGATACCTGTAAAACATGTCCAAGACACTGGATTTGGTGTTTCAGAATTATGACATCCAGTGAATTATAATCACTACACATAAACATGTAACGTCGAACTTCAGTATTAATAAGATTGCACTGCCACCTAACGAGAGCGATCCTTTGAAAATGACGATGATCAAATACTCACCAAACATTTTCAGTTCGGAAGAGCTAGTTTTCAAAAGTATAGGGCATAACTACTCTCACAGAGATGTAGTATTCGCTTCGTAAATACAGCTGATTTTTTAAATAAACTACTTCAGTTTCTATCAGTTCAGTCCTACTCCAGCAGGAATTTAAGGTCAATGTAGGGAGTAACACCAAACTAAACATATGGCCCTGTAAAAACCACTTGATCAACTTTCCGGAATATATATTAGAAGAATGTTTGCAAACAATGTAAAAGCATTACTCACATCACCTTTTTAAACAATGTTCTTTCGTAAGAAACGGATTATACTTCCTACTACGTTATGAAAGGACCTTTATATATTAACCGTTTAGTTAACTCTTCATAAAAATATAAGACAATTACAAAATTTCTTTGGTGGTATTGAGGAGCGCAAAAGTGATACGCGGTTTTATAGAATGTAAATGAAGCAAACTGATAGTTATTCAAACAAGTCTAGGTGAAAAATTCCAAATACTATAAGTATATTTAAAAAATTAGAAGCCTGACAGTACAAAAAATAGGAACAATCAAGAGATAGTGTTACTACTTTCAGTTATATAGCTTCCTATCAAGGAAAGTTTACCAAACACAAAGAATCCTAATTAATCCGAACATTACATGGATAGGTAAACAATAAAAATAAATAATACAACCAAACCATCAAATGGAGCGAAATCCGCATGTGGACTGAATGGAAAGCCAAAAACAGCCGTAGTTATTATATATTTAATGATACGAGTTTTTGTCGTTGTTAGCACTAAGAAGTACATTTAAGCAGTGCCCATTAGCATATGTGCGTTTGAAGAAACAGATACTGAGTTCGAGTTTCAGTTTGAACATTGACACCGGAATCCAGAAGTGTTCAGCTGACTAGTCATAAATAGGACCAAACAGTAGTCCTAGATTGTATTGATAGCGAAAACCTAATTTAATTAAAAAAACTGGTTATGTCTCATTAGGTCCATGAAATGGATGATAACCAGTAACGATGATAGAATAGATAACGCAAATGGGATAAGAAAATGTTAGTGATATATATCAAGCATAAGTAATTGGAGGATGACGACCAATAAAAATGAGGCTTGCAAATATAAAGTATGCACAAAATGTTGAAAATAGTATGTGATTGAGCAGAGAATGTTCAATAAATATACGCATTCAGCAGTTATTCTTTGATGGAGCTATTTTTACACCTTGATACACGTTACGGTATTAAAGATTATTGTTAACATACATTTATGTTTTGGACCAACTGAATTATTTTCTTCTCTTGGTTCACAATCCATTGTTGATCGGGACTTGGTTGAGTGGTACTATGTGGCACGGCATGACTTTGATTTGAGCACTTCATCAAAAATCAACTGTCTGAGAGTTTTTACTGAATATTGTGATTTAATTCCACACTGGGACTCTCTAGCTCGTTTAGTGTCTTCAACGTTCACTTGGTGTTTTCAATAACTATTATAAAGGCAAGGTTTCCAATTAATTTTATAAACTTTTTTCTTTAAAACTGAATGCAAAACAACAGGACCACCTTAGCATAAAGATAAATTGCACAAAGAACACGACAAGATAACAATTATTCTTTACTATCCTAAAACAAAAAAGAAATAGAAAACTGGTCATTACAAAAGTAAGGGAAGTTTGAGAAAAAAATATGATCTTGCAATCATTGGGTTTTCTTAGGCTGTCAAAAACTGTTATGCACAAACACCAACAACGTTTAGATGACCTGAATGGGGGTCTTTTCCCAACTTTAAAAAACTGAATAAGAACATGAACATCTTTTCGCTTAGCTATGTTGTTGCATCTACTACTGAATTTTATATTTTTGATCATATGATGCAAGTTGTAAGAGTACCCAAGTGATCTCTCTATTAAGAATCTAGTGCTTCTGTACTTATAGAAATTACACTGTGATATCCTTATATATATCTATACAGATTTTGTGTAAAACTTGATAGCTTAGTCAGTACATGAACATTTTCAGTGTACGCGAATAAAAGATGTCACGTTTGATTTATGCTTGGACGTTACGATGACATACAAGTCAACATATATTCAATAACAGACCTCAGAATTCGCCGTGTCAGACCACTGATTAGAAAACTAAATGACCCTAGAAGATTTAAAATTGACTATTTCTATTGTTCCAGAAGTAAATCTCGATGAACTAGTTCAGAAAAACAAGACTAAACAATAGCCACAAATACTAGTTTTATTATGGTATTTTACACGTATAGAACCCAATATCTTCTTCACGAGCTACTGCAAGCCAGATGATTTATCTTTTTCTGTTTAATAGCGTTAAGGCACAGTTCTATTTCTACGCAAAACGGTTAGTCAAGCCACTCAGCTGCACTGGTCTTAATGAATTTGACAGTTTCTTGGGTCTCAGACTAACTTGTATATGATTAGCCCAGTGTTGTTGGTGAAAGGATGTAAACATCTACCATTTTTTTGACAACACCCATTAATGGTTAAACATACATAAGCCGACTATATAAAGGATTCTCTTGAAACCTGCATAAGCTGGCTTTATTATTCTGCAAACCCCTCCATTATATTTCAGTGCACATCCTCAACGTTAATTAGACAGGAGTCAAAATCTTCTTATGATTGAAGTTTTGTCTTAGGGCGAAGCGTGAGAAATTTACGATTAAGTCATGACTCAACTTGAGTACAACTCACTATGGCATATCGTTAACATGTACTTAAGTCGAGTAAATAAGACAGTTGGTAACAGAAAGATAGATAATAAGCGCGAAATTAAGGAAATACGACAACTGAAACTTTAATTAATCAAATAATGCCTAAAATCGATTACACAACCCGAGACACGCGATAACACAGAGAGTCGTCAAATTGTGCGGACAAACTGTTCTGACAAATAAATACAAAGAAATTACATTTATATGGAGCGTAGAATTAAGTCATTCAGTGTCCTTTGTAAAAATAATAATTAAAGGCTTTAGTTACGCCTTTTGCACGCTGTTTAAAAATAGACACTACTATTGGTTACAGCTCACATTTTCTAAGTGATAAAGCGAACATTCTAACCTGACTGATGAACTTAAGTAAGAACCCTTTGCTTAAAGATGTTTCGGATTCGACTAAAATCTGTTTTCGGACTTCTAATTCTTCGTGAATCTAGTGATGGGCGATAAATTAGTTCCATTTATAAAGATTTCTACCACTTTTCCAAATGATAAGTTTCAACATATTTTGAAATTAAAATTCAACGATCAGCCTAGTTTATTTATAAATGCAAGACCGTTTCACTTTTAAACTTATACTCCAATATTTACTAATATAATGGTGCCGTGAGATAATACTACTTCATCATGGAAAGTTATTTGTCAGTAAGCCATCAGGAATAGTGAAAATGTTCATTCATCGTCATCGAGATTGTTAGTTACAAGACTTACAAGACGAATAAATTCCGTTGTAGTTGCCAATTTTCGAACGCTTAATATGTCTTTTACTGAATGTACATTTTGTTTCGCTTGCTTATGTAGGACGTTATCATGCCCTTCGTACACCTGTTTGAGTTTGAATGCACGTCATTATAAACGTTTTCACTTAGCCTCTGCACCTTATGGTTTTTGTTTTATTGCCTTGAAGACTGTCATCCGATTACAACATTACTCACCTTGGTTGCTTACTGTTATAACTTGTGACCGCTGATTATGGAGCAGTGACTTATCGATTGGATCAATGACACGTAAAACCGTATGAGCAGTCTAGAGTTCTGATTGACCCTGCTTTCTTTCTAGCCCAATCAGTTAAGTCCAGAACAAATGTCTCAGCCTCTGTAATATGAATCGTTATATTTCAAGCATACTCTGTTTATATACCAATCAAGCAGACCACATCGTACCATAAAATAGAAAGTAACATTTGTACAATTTTTGGCCAACAGGAAAATGTCACGTGAAATAAGTGTTGACCAGTAGGAAAATAACACGTAAAATAAATATTGACCAATAGGAAAATGATACCATCTCAAGTACCAGAATAACATTAGACTTAATAGAATAATTTTTGAGATATTTCCCTGTTTCAAACTCAAATGGAATCAAAAAGACTAACAAAAATGTATAACTAAAGGAATCAATAGGAACAAACTGCAAATGTGTACATGGAGGGATTTTCACACTCAAAACATTCAAAATGGATCTTACAATAATATTAATTCAGACGACGCTTCGGGGTAAAAGATTTTTAAAGGGTATAAACAATCTGACCAACAGAGGGTATATCAATTATTGATCAATATTAAACTGAGGTATAACATTCTATCGTGACTTAACCTTCTAACAAGTAGTTTGTTGGGGAGTCGAAAGTCACTTGTCGTTCGTGTTGACGTTTTTCAAAAAACATTTTAGTCGTATTATCCAACAGACAATAGGATATGATGATATATATATGGATATAAGAAAACTATCAAACATAGGAAATAGAATGTATGAGTGTACAACATCAATGTCAGTATCCTATTTATAAATATCCTATAAGATGTAACGTAAAGCGCTGTTTGAGGTAAGCGAATACGAGAAATCTACAATAGCTTCTCGGGCTACATAAAAACTTATAAATAATAGGTTTTCCACAGTAAATGATCATGAGTTCAAGTTAAAGAGGTAAGACATCAACAACAATATATCATGAGCATCTAAAAGTTAAAGATGGTTAATCCAAAGTGTCCATGCCAGTAAAATGTGTTTTAATCGACGAGAGTTTAACCACCAAATTTGCAGTATTTGGTTTGAACATAGAAGTATAATGAACAATAGTTCATTTGATTAGATGTAACTACAACCTCCTTGAATCAATGGTATTTATTTACATCAAAGCATAAAGTCAGTGGTTGAATAAATCGTTTCCTATTTAAGAAAAAAAACAAATCATACCAAATTATAAAATTCTTCAAATGGTACGGCTTGTTCTGTACAGGTACCAGTTTCTTTAGAACACAATAGCGTACTTAGTAGCAAAAGGAATGGTTAATAAATAATTGTTCAGTACCTGAGTCACCAAGTGCATTCTTGATATAGTGGAATCAATTATCTATCCACCAGAACTCAACTAACTGTTTTCTGAAGACATTTAAAAATCAACAATCCTACAATTGAAAAATATATGGAACTCAAACCAACTCTAACCACTATCAAAGTCAAAACCTTCAATACGAACGTTGAGACAGTTCTACTGTATGATGCTAAAACTTGGAGAAATACTACAGCCATCGTCAAAAAGGTACAAGTATTTAGAAACAATTGTCTACGCAAGATAACATCAACAATTGTATACTGTGGGAGAGGATAAACCAGGTTTCGACTGAAGAGGAAATTAGGAAAAGACGTTGGAAATGGATCGAGCATACATTACGGAAATCACCGTCTCAGTGGTCTAGAAGGTAATAATATACTGCAATGATCCTATTGAGGTATTGAGATAATATACTGAGATTTAAGTATATTACATACACACATACATACATACATACATACATACATACATACATACATACATACATACATACATACATACATACATACATATGTAGCGTGGCGTCGAGTTGAGATTAACTATGAACACCGCTACCAGGAAACACGTGCCAGATAAATCAGAAGGCGAGGGTTGGACGTAACCAAATAGATCCATAAAATCCCCGAGAAGCCAAATATCAGAAGACAGTTAATGGACCAAGTCGAGGTTTATTAGCTGGCGATCTCGTGGCATCGAAAGGATACCGAGATCGTGCCAGGATACAAGCTTGGTTACAGAAGGTAACCGAATTCGCGCGAAGTTACAATCAAAGTGTAAGCGAAAGAATGGAAGCAGAAAATAGCTGTCATTAGCACAGTCAAACAAAAGCACATTAAAACAAACACTGGTACAGTTGGTTATAATAATAATTGTTTTTATTAAACCAGTCGTGTTCTCGTGATAAACGTGAGTCACTACAGGAGCCCCCCGCTAGAAAGGGTTTACACTTTCGATAAATAGCGGTTTGAATCGTGGGACTGATCGGCTGACGAGCGATTGTAGGACGGAAGAATTGGCGAACAGGAAAGCGATCGTTGATCGTCGAGTTGCCAACGAGGGTTGTTTTCGGAGAACGGTGCCAGGAGCGATGTGTTGTATTTGTTGCTTGAGTCGGCATGCTACCAGAGTGGTTTGTATCCAGAATCTGAAGAGGGCGTTCGTACGGGTCCGGACCATAAACGCTGCAGACGAAGGACGAAACCACGTTGAGCCGATGAACCAGAAGCGACCATAACGACCAAGTTCGAGACCAAGCATATGCCAAGCATTCGAAACCAATATATCGACTGAGTACGTTGACAAGAGCGTGGGTGATCAGGCCAGCTTTCGCCAAAGTTGACTGAAGTCGACGGAACCAAACGTAGATGGTCGAAGGCGTGGGCTCAGGAAACAAAAAGAAAATCAAAAAAAGAAGAGTGTAGCATACGTGTAGTATAGGAATAATCCTACACCGTATCGGTTGTTGACTGTGCGACTAGTCGCGGAAGCGTACGGGAACCGTACTCGGCGACCGGAACGTGAGACGGCAGTCTCGTTCGTATTTCGTGAGCCTGCAATCTCATCCGAGGTCAGAGGCGGCGTGGTCTGCTGATCTGGACGTGAGACTGTCGTCTCGTCCGTAGACGGTGCAGATGACGCGTGCTGTTGACCGGGACGTGAGAATGAGGTCTCAGATGCATCTAGCGTGGGACCTGAAGAAGATTTAAGGATCCCGCTAGGTTTGATAGGTCTAGCATTGAATCTCAGGGTGTCAGATAGGGCACTGTCATCGACGTGTGCCGGTTTGAGACGATCAATGCTGACGATCTCGACGCGGCCATGTCGATCAACCTTGAAGGTCTTTTCGTGACGAGCGATCACGTGAAAAGGGCCTTCGTAAGGTTGTTGCAAAGGTTTGCGTACCGAATCTACTCGTATGAAAACATGTGAACAGGTAGATAACTCTCGAGGGAGAGCGACCTGTCGATGTTGTATTCGAGTTGACACCGGAGGCAGCGTTCGCATAAATGCAGACAGTCGTTGGACGTAGTCTGATTTAGCGAAATTAGGTCTGCTCCGTGGTGTGAAGAATTCTCCGGGCAGACGCAATGTCGTGCCGTATACAAGTTCAGTGGCGGAACATTGGATATCTGCCTTTAAGCTCGTTCTCGCCCCTAAAAGAACGAGCGGTATGGTTTCGTGCCAGTTGCCGTTTTCGTGTGCTCGTAGAACACTTTTAAGTTGGCAGTGAAACCGTTCAACTTAACCATTTGGTGCTGGGTGGTAGACGGATATGCTTATGCGTATGCATTCCGTACCAAGCAGCCGGGTCAGCGAGGAGAATCGTTAATAGGGTAACATTTCTCGAATAAAGCGTGGAATTCATCATCACGCGAATAAAAAGTGACAAGGATTCGGTACACATACGTGTGAGTCTATTATATTAATACTATTCTTATCGTTATCCGTCATGTCGCGTATATTATATATTAAAAATATGAAAATATACGACAGACGTGGATAGATAAATCATAGACTCACCGAATTGGCTTCTTTGGAAGATTTGATCAGAAGTTGAGGCGTGTTCCAAAATACGGCTCACCAATTGTATTCGAATTGGGATTACCAATTGTAGCGTGGCGTCGAGTTGAGATTAACTATGAACACCGCTACCAGGAAACACGTGCCAGATAAATCAGAAGGCGAGGGTTGGACGTAACCAAATAGATCCATAAAATCCCCGAGAAGCCAAATATCAGAAGACAGTTAATGGACCAAGTCGAGGTTTATTAGCTGGCGATCTCGTGGCATCGAAAGGATACCGAGATCGTGCCAGGATACAAGCTTGGTTACAGAAGGTAACCGAATTCGCGCGAAGTTACAATCAAAGTGTAAGCGAAAGAATGGAAGCAGAAAATAGCTGTCATTAGCACAGTCAAACAAAAGCACATTAAAACAAACACTGGTACAGTTGGTTATAATAATAATTGTTTTTATTAAACCAGTCGTGTTCTCGTGATAAACGTGAGTCACTACACATACATACACACACACACATACATACATACATACTGTTATAATTAGTCGTTTGAATGCTTATTGTCTCGGCTCTTTTAAGGCTACTTTTTGTATCTGATCGTCGCCGATTGTTACGTTGGAAACGCTTATCACTTATACTCGGAATGAGAGACCTCTGCAATTCCCACGACGTGAAAGCAAGAACATAAAGACTGGCATAAGTGGTGATTTATTAACCCAAAGCACTATGACGACGACAACGACTATAGTCGAAAATACACTCATTTTGTATATTGATTGTACACACTTTGATTCATAATTAGGATGAAATCACATACATAAAATACTCACTTATCACAAACCACATATAGAGCATAGTTCATGTCAATGGAATACAAGAATATCGTATATTATACAGAATAAAATATCATACGAGACAATAAAACAACTACTACATTGAGTAATCATTACATTGAATCAAAACGGAAGTAATCTTGAACTAAGTTCATAATGAGCAAATCAATCGAAAATTGACTTTTCTTTCCGTCATCTCACATACATACTTCCTTCCTTCCTTTCCTACTTACTTACTTACTTGTGCCTGTTACTCACAGTGGATCATAGGCCGCCGACCAGCATTCTTCAACCCACCCTTTTCTGAGCTCTCTGATTGTTGTTCATTCTTCTCATGTCTATCTCCATTTCTCGGTGTAACGTGTTCTTTGGTCTTTATCTTCTCTTTTGGCCTTTAGAATTCCAACTGAGGTCTTGCCCTGTGACGCAGTTGGGTGCTTTCTACAATATGTGTCTTATTCACTCCCAGCGCTTCTTCCTGAATTGTTCCTCCGCTAAAATCTGGTTTGTTCTCTCCCACAGTAGATTGTTGCTGATTGTGTTTGATTAATGGGATCCGAAATATTTTACATAGGTCACTGTTAATAAACACTTATATTTTCTGGATGATAGTTTTAATAGTTAAACTCAAGTAAATATAACTATCAAATGTAATAAATTCTACATCCATGTGATGTTTACCGAATTTCATTCACTTTAACATTTCATAGTACTCTCTACTAAAAGTAAAAAATGTAAACTTAATTTATAGGCACCAATTATTCAAAGATTCAATAAAGTCCAAAGTAAAACAATCTGCAAATAGGTTGATGAAACTAAGACTAAATTTATTTATTATTTAAATAAATAAACAATAAAAAAACTTTGGCAACTTTGCACATGTAAACAAACTGTAGTATTTACTTAGTTATGTGCCAATTCAACAATCAACTTTCTGTATTCATTAGTTAGTATAATTTTATGTTTGTACAAATATCGTAAACATGAATTAGTTACATTATTTTATGGGGCAGGAAACTAATTACATACGATAAATGAATATCATTAGGGAAAAAATGAAGAAAAAATCAATCTCATCCACAAATTACAGATTCTATATGACTTGTATCCATGAGAAAGAAAGAAAAGTTATCTAAGTCAAAATATCCAATTTGTGTGTTCAATATTAAGTATTACTTTAGATAGCGGTTATTTACTTACTTACTTATTTACGCCTGTTACTCCCAGTGGATCATAGGCCGTCAACTAGCATTCTTCAATCCACTCTATCTTAGGCATTCCTTTCCAGTTATATCCTATTTTTGTTCATTTTTCTCATGTCTGTCTTCATTCCTTGGCGTAATGTGTTCTTTGGTCTTCTTCCGCCTGGAGCCACTCTGGGGCTCCCAAGCCCGGATAAAGGAGGAGGGTTGGGCATGGGGTTAGTGACCCCATCCCTTAGAAAAACTAACTCACTAAAAAATACGCTAATGAGAAAAAATTATTCAAACCATTTAGACAGCGGTAAGTGCCATTAAATCAATTCTCTCATTTAAACTAGTTTAATTAGATCAACAACCACTCAAATGCTTTAGCATTTAATGAATTACACACTCTACATACGTTAATTATTTATCCAAATGGAATAACGCTATTTTCTTCATTACACAACTAAGACGAATATCTACACTAGATACCCTCCCAGTGTCTATTTTACAGGATCTCAACAAAACTCAGATCAAGAACACGTGACTGGCATGACTAGGAAGTAGGTATATTGCCATGCCGACAGCCGACAACAATCACAGTAATAATAAAGGTAGGAAAATATATAACTCATCTAATACCTATTAGACTATTTACTAGTCTGGCTAAGCAAACTACCATTCATTACATTCTTCGATCATACATTACCAAAATTCTAGTGTTTGTAGCACTGAGGACAAGGAAATCGACATGAGCTTCAAATGTATAATTTATCACATGGGAAATGTAGTTTGATATATGATGATAGTTTAAGTATAAATTGGGAATTATCTATGTACCTGAATGAATTGAACCCATCGATTTCTCATATAACTTGAGAATTCTGATGATCAACAGAGTCACTTACTCTAAGCAACACGATATTAGGTTTTGTCAGAAAACTATCAACAGAATCATCCTCAACATCTTCATTTATACTACCAAATCCTTTTCAATTTGGAAACTATATAAAAGTAACCAAACAATCTGTTTCACATGTTTGCGATAATTTATACCATTAATAAGTTGGTCGTGAAGTTGAATATGAAAATGTTCGTCAAAATTATTCTTGGAAATATAAACGGATCCTAAGCCCCAACAATTTTCTCACCCAAACAATGAAATTTCAATAATCTATTTAATCTGATGTTTTCAATCAGAAGCTCATAAGTACTTGGTTTAATGAGATATAAATCTTCTGTTTAGTTGTAAGATTACTTTGATCTATGTTGTGAGACAATGAACATCAATTGAAATGTGACTCATTATCCAGTTAACTCTAATCAGTCGTTCAATGGGAAGTAATTATAACAGAAATCTAAACATGATATTGTTTATTTGAATCTTCCCATTGATGTTTAGAACTACAATTGATCATTCTCTTATTATCATATGTGCCTACTGTGCTCATTGCCTTGATATTGCCTCAATTCACAGGCATTATAAACAAAGTGAATTTAAACTTCACCCTATTGCACAAGCAATTGGCTATCAGGACTCAGTAATTAAGTGAATAACACGATGGCGTTTGAAGTGAACGATACTGGGTTAGAGTCTTAAAGTGTACATCAATTCTGAGATGCAGATACAACCAACTGACGAGACCCGAATAGGATGAGACACGCCTCCGGAATTCCACTGTTAGCCAGTATCTATCTTTGTTAAGAAATCCAAACATTTTCCCTTGTTTGAATCCACCGGTTTTTCGAAACTTATAAAAACATCTCAAGTATAGTCATTTAAGTATGTTTTTATTTTTATACCAGTAAAAAAAACAATCTACAGACCATACAAAAAAAAGGGAAGTCATAAAGAACAAAACTGGAAATCTTTTATTTTCACACCACCACACCTTCATAACATATTTCTTCATGAGATATCATTGGTCGATCATAAACATTTTCTTCCATGATTCTTATTTCATTTATGAACTGGTCAATGTAGTTACAAGATCTTATTTTGTTTTAAATTAGAAAACCAAATAGCTGCAGAGAAATCTTTTTGGCTTCCTATAAAATTTGGAAAAAAACAAACAAACAAAAATGTTAAAATATAACTTATCTGAGATGTAATACTTGTAAATTGTCTAACTGTTAAAACAAAAATGTATGAATAAGAGGCAGTGTATTGTTACTAACCTAAAATTGCTTCCAGTATTCATGGTTACACGAATCATTATACCAGTAATAAGGTAATTAAGGAAGCTGTAGACTGTTGTATGGTTATATAACTATGTTGTTTTAGATAAACAGTTAATAATAATCAGAGTGGGGTTTTGTGTATATTATAGTAATTTAATAGTTGAATTCATGAATCAATTGAAGCTAGATCACCATTGAAAACCTAGAAGCACTGGACGACCGTTTGTTAACGGGCTATAGATTGGATTAATGCATCCTTAATGTATGATTGCGTTGCTGCACGCTGATTGGCTAATTCTCAACCAATCAGCGCTAGCCAATACTTGGTTGACACAATCTACTAATATTTTTCATATTGCGCCGTTTCGTCCTAGTATGAGACTCTTCGTAGTAGAACTAGACGGCCGTCAAGTGCTTCTACTTTTTCAATGGTGGTCTAGCTACAATTGACTCCTGAATTCAACTATTAAATTAATAAGATGCTGATTATCCAAATATTAAGATTACTAGAGAAAGTTATGAACATTGGGAAAACAAGGTAAGTTAATTTCTTTTGTAGATGAATGAGTTTCATATGAGAAACAACGTTTTGATTATGATTTTCATCATTAAAAAAACTTAAGTAAACATTATAACCCAAGTTGTTTGTGACATAAAAGAATCTCGTTAATATAGTAACTGACTAAGTTTTCACACACACAACAAGGTATTTAAATCTCTTTAATCTAGAAAAAAAATAATTGAAGTGATTATTATTGTGGTATAGCTGATTCTAAGCATCCTATAAGACTTACGTTGAAAATTAAAGTAAAGAGGGTTCAAACATATTCGCCTCATGATACTGTGCATCAATGTTTAGGCGCCGAATATAATCATCCGTCATTGAATGTGTGTTCAAGTCTTTAATATTTAAAATGTAGAACACTGTTGAATGTACTGTAAATTTTGGTTTAATTTCCAAGTTCTACAGACAGTTAAATCCAACATCATAACCAGCTTTCCGTAGTTGTTTTTGACTGATTGAGCAGATTTAACTTCTAATATATATCATGAAGATTATTTTTCAGATTTCTTAATACTTAGTATTACAGAGATACTTAGGTTATGTTGAAAAGTCACTGAAAAAATATTCAAAGTTTAGTGTAACAAGTGATAAAGGAAAGATGATCTTCGTTATTTCATTTACATCATATTTTCATAATCAGTCCTTTACTATCATGTGGTAGTTTATGTTTAGTTTTCATATGAATATTTGCCTTGTAGAATACATGACTACATGCAAATGAAACAGTATTCTAAACATTGAACAAATGTCCAATGTTATTTGATTTGACTTCAATCAAAATAAAGTGTTATTGACTCCATTATACTCAAAATACATGAATTCACTTCTCATATCAGTCTAATTTTATTTTTTGTTTCAGTTTTTCCTCGTTGATATTCTGTTTTTATACCTCAACTTCAGCTTAAACGACATAGCTGACACAATTTTTGCATTTGTACAAAATCGATATTTTACACTTAATTCTTGAATCTTGTAGTTACCACGAATAGACCTATGTTGGTCACTCATTGAAAGTCAGGTAGCATCGGACAACTGTTTCATCCTATTAAAGAACTAGGCAGTACTAGATATCAACAATTCCAAAAGGGATCTAATCCAAGAACGTATAAGTGAATGGAAACTGAAATGTTTGTTTACTTGTGTAATGGATGTTGAAACAAGATTTAATTCAGTGGGCAGATATGATAATTGAAGTTTACGATAATAGTACAAACAATGTATTATGGTTCCTGAATAAGAAATTGAAAAAATATTTTCCAAGCCTATTTATAATAAACAACATGATATAATAGATAGATCCACAAGTCGACGAAATTTTCCCAAACTAGATAACTGATATAAGCAAAGATGGATAGTGGCTAACAGTGGAATGCAGTCTGATGCGCGTCTCGTCCTATTTGGGACTCGTCAGCTGGATATACATACATCTCAGAGCTGATGTTCACTTTTGAACTCCAACGCAGTACCATTCACTTCAAACGCCATCGCGTTATCCACTTAGCTGCTGAGTCCTGATAGCCACTCTCTTGTGCAATGGGGTGAAGTTTCAAATTCCCTTGGTATTGTTTACTCGTATCTTCACATTGTTATTTAGGACTGCAATTGATCAGTCATTCTCGATATGATTGAATGATCAATTCTATTTTTCATGCGGTGTCTTTTTCAATAAACATGCTTCCCAATCATTACAAATCGCAGTTCAAAGACTTTTATTTTGTTTTGAATAAGAATATTACAACTTAAACTTCGATATTTTCACTGTAAGTATTCAGTTATTTTAAGTTTTCAGAATTATTTTCTAATCTCTTCTATACTACTGTTTATGAAGCAACATAAAATTATAAACAACTAGAATTGAGAGAGTATATGTTTGATTTAACTGTACTTTTACTGTTCATTCCAGGCAGGGAGATGATTTCTTTACTAGTTCACTAAAATGATTTTTTTATTATATTTTAATATCAGTTCTGACGCATATGTGATGTATGCTACTTATGTCGACCGATATCAGTAGTTTGTAACACTAATCAGAAGAGGAATGCATGACAGTAGAATTCTATGAGGGTCAATTTGAAGAAAATAGAAACAGAAATACAAAGGAATTGTGAACTGGAAGAATCATACAGAATGTGAAGGACAAATGATAGAAATTCGCCAATGAAATATTCAGTGTATGGTTCTTATATTTTACTAAAAGATTCTGTAATTTCATATTGGATTACAATTGATCATCCCTGTATGTTCTCGTTCATTACGCATAATACATTTAACACACTTATTATATGATTTTAATGGTTTTTAATGACGATTATTTTAAAGTCTTCATATCCAGGTCGTTGATTTAGTTTCTATGTTAAAATTGTTACATCAAATTGTTATTATTTCTTATCACTACTATTATACCTGCCTATTTACTATCGATCTGTATTCTTTTTACCTATCATGTTCAATTATTCAATCCATTTCATTGTTATCTGTTGGGATATTCAGGAAAATATCCCAAAGATTATTCTGCTAGTCCTAATGCTATCCTTGGACATGAAATGATATCATCTTATTGGTTAATATTTATTTAACGTGTTATTTTCCTGTTGGCCATTACTGTACAATGTTATCTTCTATTTTATGGTACGTTGTGGACTGCTTGAATGGTATATAAACAAAGTATGTTTGAAATAAAATGATTCATATATCCGAGGCTGTGACTTGCGTTCTGGACTCAATTGGCTGGGCTATACAGGGAAGCGAGACCAATCAGAACCCTAGGTCGTTCTACGTGTTTGCGCGTCTTTGGTCCGATCAATAATTCGCTATCCCTTAAGCAGCAATATTTTTCACGTCATAACATTATCATGAACTCATAAATTATCTTGGCTGATTTGATATTTTCGTATATCCATATAAATACTCTGTTGTATAGTAGAGTTAAACCTAATGATTTAATTGAGAACAATACTTGTTCACTGATATGTATTGTTATAATGAGAAAATCAGAGTTGAATTGATGATTTTACTATCCCTAAAACACGATACTTGATCATGAATTACATTCGACCTAATTATATCCGATCAATAATCAAGAACAAGTGTGTATTCACACTAAAGTAAGAAATAGTGAGTGGGTTGAATCAATAATGAAGTATCATTGTGTAACCGAATGTTTATCTTAGCTAATTATCTAATCATCGATTATTTTAAGCAAATCTATCATTGTAAGAATATTCTAAACTATGTAAAGTATTCGAAACTTTGAATTCCAGGTTACACAAACATTACATAGATACTGTTTTACCCATGTAAATTCGAATCAATAAAAACCCTAAAATATCAAATGGGTTTTTGTGGAGATTGTAGTAATTTCAATGGTTAAGATCATGAATCAGTTGAAGCTAGATCACCATGGAAAACCTGGAAGCACTGGATGGCCGTTCCGTCCTATTGTGGGACCCCTCAGCAGTGCGCATCCACGACCTCGCCCCTCCGCGAGATTCGAACCCAGGACCTACTGGTTTCGCGCCCGAGCACTTAATCACTAGACCACTGAGCCGGCATCCAACGGTGTTAATATCTAACTTCAACTAATCCACGAAATCGAGCGACACATTCACCATTGTCTTCAGTGAGTTACTACCTCACGAAACCAGTAGGTCCTGGGTTCGAATCTCGCAGGGGGCGAGGTCGTGGATGCGCACTGCTGAGGAGTCCCACAATAGGACGGAACGGCCATCCAGTGCTTCCAGGTTTTCCATGGTGGTCTAGCTTCAACTGACTCATGATCTTAACCATTGAAACCCTAAAATACTTAATCAAATAATCCAGTTGATTAAAATTGGAAACCATAATGTAATGACAGAGATTTCTTATTTCATTCATTAGCTCTTCGACATAATTTTGAATACAATGTAAACCTAGAACTTTTGTAGTGGATAAAATATATCAGAAAACAATACAGCTTGAGACTTTTCGATTTCAAATGTCATTTTACAAATAGATCTACATTTTAAGCGATCGAAAATACAAATTGATTCTTCTTAGTTTTTCACTTTAGTAAGGATATAAGCACATTTTTTTACAGTAAATAAGATAACTAGTTATCAAGCCTAAAATTCAAATACTTAATTGTTTTATAACTAACTTAACAAGACATCCTAAATGTTTCAGATCCATTGATGAACGAGATATGATAGAATGACTAGACCTCTGAATCAATTTTGCATAAATTACTATAATCTCCATCAAACCCCTTTTGATACTAATCAACATATGCTCACTAGTGACTGGCTTCAAGAGGTATATCCTGGAGTTCTAGTGAGAAGCAGTGACCAATAGAGTTCAACCGGGTCAGTTATGAGATAGTAACTCACTGATGAAAATGGTGGATGTGTCACTCAATTTCGTGAATTAGCTGAATTTAGACATCAACAACATTGAGTGTTGGCTCAGTGGCCTAGTTGTTTAAGCGCCTGATGCGAGACTGATAAGTCCTGGGTTCGAGTCCCGCAGGGCGGGGTCGTGGATGTGCACTGCTAAGGAGTCCCACAATAGGACGAAACGGCCGTCAAGTGCTTCCAGATTTTCCATAGTGGTCTAGCTTCAATTGACTCATGATCTCAACTTTTGAAATTACTACAATGTCCACAAAACCCCTTCTGATACCTTATTACTTAAATCAGAAAAAAAAACTAAGTAATCTTCAAATGTCTTTATCTATACGAATATCTTAAATTGTAATTGAGAAGTAGTTGCTTATAAAACCAATCACATTCAGAATGTGGATGGATTTTTTTACTTCAACATTGGATGGTAGTTGATTTAAAATGAGATTGGCACTATTAAGAAGACTCTATATACAAAAAATAGTTTTCGTTTAGTTCTTTTTCAATTTTCTACAGTTTTCCGATTATTATTAATAATATATGATGAAATTTGTCCTCAAATTAAAGAAATGCGGACAAGCTGATTAAAAATTTACTTTACTAACATAATGTAGCATGTTAGTTAACTAATATGATACTTTCTACATTGTCTTGTTTCATGATAATGGCAATATAAACAGTTACTAATTCTCATATATATATATATTGGTTCAGTGATCTTAGAACTACTGGGTGTAAAATATGGACAGTCGAAGATAGTGGGGAAGATTTGTAGCTCAGGTGGATGTTTTTGATGGAGTTTTGTTCTCTGAACTGGATGGTATGATCGTGGAGCTTTCCTCGTTCTTCTGAACGACATCATCAGCACAAACGTCAGGTATATATATATATATGCATGAACATTGAAGTCTGAGCCGATTGACTGATATTTTGCAAATGAAGTATTTATTGTATGGTTCTCAGACTTTTCTAAGATGTTCTGTAATTTTGTTCTTGTTCACTACCCCAGTATTACTAGAGGTAATTTTTAGTGAACTGTGTTACGTTACAGAGATATCAAAAAGTGATTTTATCGGTACGTCTTTTTCAATTAATTAATCTCTTAAAGAATGTTTGACTTTCTTGAGTTATAATAATAACACTGAAGCCTGATTGTGCAGTTCTAGTTTTTGGATATTGAAGAGTAAATTTCAATTAACAGATAACATTCGGCTTTAAATAAAGTATATTGCCTCCCGTATCGCTGGGGAATTTTATGTTCACTCCGACTGAAACTGAATTGCGTTGTTTTTCCAGACTTAGTACAAAAAATCTGTATAGATATATTGTTATTCTAGTAGAAGTCTTTGTTTCTGAGAATGGTGTTATATTAAATGATCAAAAGCCTATTTAGCTACGTTTCTCCCAGCGAATCTGTGAGAAAAAAGGCAAACCAAAGTTACCACTTCTAAATTATTTTACAGACTTTTAAGGAGGCTGTATTAAAATACAAAGAAAAACTCAATAATGAATAACATTTCACCTCATGTCCCCATCCAAAAATATACATACCTTTCCATTTCAGCTTCCTTTCTTGACAACTTTTGTCAAACCATGAATTAATATCACTATACCAAGACGGTTTGAGACTAGGCAAAGCATTAGCCAATAAACAAAAATCACATTCTGGTCGTCCAGGAAATGATAATACTTTCCATTTATTCTGCCAAATGAAATATTCATTAAATGCTGTATGATTTTTGTCTAGATAATGTAAATATTCAGCTAATTGTCTTGGACTAGAAAACTGATCAACATGTATGAAAGAATTCGGTGGTGCTACACTCTTATATTCTTCAATTGATGCACCCATTACAACTGGTATAACATCATTCCTTAAAAATCAAAAAAGTCCATATGAAATAATCTATTGAATAAGCGTAGAAGCATAGTGATAACAAACATATAAACACTTTTTAAAAACATTATTACAAGTTTTGGTTAAATATATATCTTGTGAACTTATTGATATGAAATGTTAATACAATAGGGTTGTGGAGATCATTAAATTCTCTCGAGATCTCGAACCGATTTATATCAAATGACCATTAATTGAAGTTGGACTTGTACACTACTGGATCTTGACTCGGCGGTCGGGAGATAAAGCATTCGCATGCGAGACCAAAGGTTCTGCTTTAGATCCCTGGTTACAAGGTCGTGAGTTTTCACTGTTGGAGAGTCCGACGCTAAGACAAAATGGTTACCAAGTGATTCCTGGCTTTAAATAATTTTCTAACTTAAATCGATTCTTAATCTCCATAAGGTAGTTTTTCATTAATTGCAAATAACTTCTATATATGAGATGTTCATTTAAATGAAAGAACCATGTTGAAGATTAGTATGTTCGCCTAATCGAATGTAAGAACCAAAAACGTTCTGAAAAAAAACTAGAACCACAAATTGAGCAGTAATGAGCTAAGGAGTGAAGATCTAGCTGGTACATATACATTAGTTTGTGAAGTTTTAACCTCGTAATGACTCAAGCGAACAACGTTAGGACTAGCTTGGAAAATATATAGGTACGTTTAGTTTATTACATAACACCGATCCGCAGACATAATAAATGCTGGTTGGTGCTGAGTAAGAGAAAATATTTTTGTCCTTTTGAGTTTATGAAGTGTTAGAAACTGACATTTAAAAATCAACCAGTTTTGCCAAAAATCAGTTAAAATAGTTCAAATGTACTCACAATATCTTCCTCTAAACAAAAAATATTTTAACACTTGAATTCTCGAGTCTATCTAAGTTGGACCACCATTGGAAACCTGGGAGCACTAGATGACCGTCTTGTCCCAATATGAGGATACTCAGCAGTGCACATTCACTATCCCTCACTCAGAACTCGAGCCCACGACCTTTGGTCTTGTGCGCGAACACTTAACCTCTAAAACACAGAGCTGGCATTCAACTGTTTTAGTGTCTAACTTCGATCGATTCATGATCTTGCGCGACCCTTCATTCAATGCTTCCAGCTTTCCAATGGTGGTCTAGCTTAGATCGATTAGTGAATCCAATTGCTGGAATACTACAACATCCACCAATCGCCATACTGATTATAAATTTTGTTGTATAACTTTACATTTGTATTTCATTTGTCTTTTTATAGTTCTTACTTGCCATTTTAAAATCTTTCCTGTTAATTAAATTTTTATTTCTGTACTTTTTTAAAAGTATAATAATGTTTACTTATGTAGAATTTACAGAATCATATACTATTCACTTAGTATTGTTTACTTGAATCTTCCCATTGTTTTTAGGACTGCAATTGATCAGTCTCTTATTAGTATATTTGCATACTGTGCATATTGCCTAGATATTGACAATGGCTATGAGGACTCAGTAGCTGAATGGATAAGGCGATGACGTTTGAAGCGAACGGTAGTGGGTTCGAGTCCCAGAGTGAAGATCAACTGTGGGATGCATGTACATCCAGCTGATGAGTCCCAAATAGGACGAAACGCGCATCCTGGATTCTGCTGCTGGCCACTATCCATCTTTGATCATATATTGTGCTTGTCTATTATATGTCTCCATAGGAAAATGCTGAAGAATACACTGGACTGTTAATTAATTAACCAGAAGTATTAAACCAGAAAAAGATATTTACAACAATAAATCCCAAGGTTTCATATTTGAGATTTAAAGATTCTCTTGTTGAAAAAATATTTGAATAATACTGGAAACTTATTGACTTTTGATGCAGGAGCTTCGTGGTTGTTTTTGAGTTTTATGGTTAAGATCACGAAATGATGTCAATTAAAAAACTACTGAAAGCCAGAAACAACTGGATAGTTGTTTCGTGGTCGCATGATTTAAATCATCAGTGTGAATCGAAGACCGCCAGTGATCAAACTCAAGGCCATTAAGTCTCGCGGAAGGCGCTTAACCTTTACATTACCAAGTTGACATTTAATGATTTACATATCCAACCGTAATCAATTCACGACATTACTCAACCATCTTCTAACTTCTCCAGTGGAAACAACCCCACATTCATTATGTCTGAACTTAACAATTGTATCTAATCCAGTGATTTCATAGATAATTCCACTTATACAGAAAAGATTAAACTGTTCAAAAGTGTACAACAATTTGGAGAGATGTATATGAAGTGAAGAACTTACATCAAAGCGTTTTCAAAAAATTTTTCTGTTATATAATCTTGACAAAGAGAATTTTCAAAACTTAAATAGAATTTGTATTGTTCTTTTAACATTTTATGACATTCTGAATCTTGACATTTTCTCTGACTACATTTACCGTATACATCAACCTTTATTTATAAATGAGTAAGTGATATAAGTAATGGATGATAATAATTGAGAGATGTTATTATTAAAAGAACAATACTGAAACATATTATTATCAAAGTATATTCAGGATTGTAGGGTTAGTGAAATGTCATTGAACCATAGTGAAATTATACGACAATTGGGTCTGTGAATATCGAATAGATGCACATATATGTGCATCGTTCCAAGTTATCATACCTCATTCACACAACAAGATGGACACCGGATTCACAGAAGTACTTAATTCAGTGGTGGTAATATATAAAAGAAAGATTGCGTATACGGATTAAGTACAGGAAGAAAGAATTAGTTCGTAGAAAGAAAGATATTGAGCAATTTCAATCTCACGGTTTAAGGGAAGACAGAAAGTGTATACACCGACGCCATTGTGATCGATTCTGAGCCACATCATCTAGAGCCTCCAACCATTGGTTACGATAGTCACGCGGACCCGAACCAAGTAGTCTGCATCTACCAACATGGCTCAGACTAGAAGTTAGTGACTTCAAGCACTGATGCCACATTTTGGTTTGACTGCCCACATGTGAATTACCCTTAGTTGACACACCATATCGTGATATCGAGAAGTTATCAAGATGAAGATACTCGTAAACTACTAGTATTTATGTGGTAAGTTACATGATATACAAAATTGGAATAATAAATTCAGTGAAATGAATCTCAAAATTGATTGCGATAAGTCAGTATGGTGATATAAACTGAGAAGTCTTGATTAAGTACATAGTTACTGTTATCAAATACAATTGAATATGTGTTTCTTATTTTCAGAATTAATGTCGAAAACATCTTCTCATTCAAATCTAATTATTAATTTGTCTTTATATTCCAAAGTAGGAAGATTATAATGCCTAATGGGGAAAAACATGATACTTGAAGAGAAATTAAAAGACAATAATCAATTATCGAAAGTTATTCACAGTTATTTAGAGATGTCACAATACTAAATTCACTTGGTGTTGTTTCGCTTGTTATTTAAGACTACAACTAATCAGTCTCTTATTAGGATATGTGCATCCTGTACGGATTGCCTCGATATAACCTTGAGTCACAATGACGTTGTGAATGAACAATCAGATGAGCAAAACTAATTTATTGTTTAATATAAAAGTAGAGAATATCTTCAAAAATCATGAAAATCATAAAGTACATAATTCCTTTGCACATTATCCATTATTCATCTCTTACAGACTTCATCAATCATTCATTATTGTTGTTATTACAATCTATGTTCTGTTCAATTCGATCTTCTTAACTTTCTATTAGCAGACATTCCATTTTTGATTGGTGTTAATATACTACTTATGTCTGTCGATAGATATAAGTAGCATACATCACTACTACTGGTTCATATTGGTTTGTTTCATAGTTTTACATAATATGATAATTAAAAAAAAGAGTATTCACTATGACAAAATCGCTTTTTATAAAATATTATAACCAAATCGAATAAATGTTTTCAAGAAATCAATTTTAAAGATACTTACAGTGATATATTTTGATAATTCATAAGCGTATAAATTTCTTGGACTCTCCGGATGACAATTACTTACAATCCATGCTACAGTTTTATTTTTCAATGCGGATATATTTCGTGGTTGAGACAAATCCCCATTACTACTACTGCTACTACTACTAATACTACTAATATCACTACTACTATCATTAAGCTTTTGATTATATTCTAGATTTTCTATAACTTTTCCATATGGTAAATGTATTGTTGAATCAAGTCTATATGTAGCGGTGAAATTAATCTAGAAACAAAAGAAAATGATCAATATTTATTTATTATTATGTTTATGAAAACGAGAACTGACAACAACCAGAACAATAAAAACAACAGCAAGATGAATTTTATCTTGAATTGACTGTACACTTCTAATAGTACAATTAAAAATGGAATAAGTATGTAGGAAAGTGAAGTCTCAGCAAAATAAAATCATTGTTACAAGGAATAGTTCCATTTGAGTGTGTAAAAATCATCATCGATTATTTAATCGGCATTGTAGATCAAAAGAATCCTTATTACTCTTTTCATAAAAATTATGCCAAATGGATTGGTCATTTATACAGTAGAAAATCACATCATGGATTCTTTAGAAAAGAAGCATAAAAATTCCCAAATTAATGATGATGATGATGATGATGACGATGATGATGATGATGAGATTTCAACTCTCATCATCATCACCAATAATGAAAATTCAAACACTGAAGTTTTCCAGACATTATGGTTGATTGAGTCGTTCAATAATCAGTTCTAATATTTGGAAACTCATGATCCATTTATAACGTACTTTATCCTATTAAACACATCGACAAAATATATCACAAAATTCACTTCCTATTGTTTACTTCAATCTTCTCATTGATGTTCAAAACTGAAATTGATTAATCTCTTATTGGCATATATGCATACTTTGCTCATTGCCTCCATATTGTCTTGAGTCATAAGCATTTTAAACAAAGATGGATAGTGGCTGGTGATGGAATGTAGGACACGTGTTTCATCCTATTTGAAATTTATCAGCTGCATATACCTGCATCTCACAGTTGATGTTCACTCCACTTGAATTTCAACTTCACCAAATTACACGAGCTAGTGTCTATCAGTACGCAGTAGCTAAGTGAATAATGTGATGGTGTTTAAAGTGAAAGGTACTATATTTGAGTCCGAGAGTTTACATTAACTGTCGACTGTAAGTACATTCAACTGACGAGTCTCAAATAGGTACCATTCATTTTCGTTCATTAAACTAATATTTAAAAATTACTATTTATATATTTATATAATATTTTCAAATGATTCACTATAGAAATAATCAACTATAATTGAACATATTAGATCTACAGCTCATTATCATTGATATATGACGTTTTATCATAAAAATGAAATAAACTTTAGATAATTATAAGTTTAAAGTCTAAAGTTTACTTATTTTCTAAAATTTACAATGTTCAATGTTACATGATTTACAATTGAACATTGAATAGTTTGTTTGTTTGTATTTTTTTTCTAAATAGAACAGATTAGTTTCGGCTTTTTGGCTTTTTGGCTTTTGTTACTTTACTCATTCATGATATGATTCATCATCAACATTGTAATATATCACGTTATCATTCATAATGTATTTACATGAATGAAAATACATGATCCAATGAATTAAACTTTTAAAATAATAATTGATTTGATTATTTATTCTCTGAAGAAGTGGCCACAATTAAGTGACGAAACGTTAGAAAATCTAATTTTTCCACTCATTTGGATATTCTAAGCATACTAATTTATTTTATTTATATAATAATCAACGACACTTCTATCTGAAGTGTGTGCTGATGATGAAAACTTTACGACCAAACCATCCAGCTCACAAGACAAAACTCTATCAAAATCATCCACCTGAGCTAAAAATCTTGTCCACCATCACATAATCTACTCAATGCTCAATTTATTCGAAAATATCAAGTCAAACCTTGATAATGATACCTAATTTGAGATATTTGATTAAACTAGGATGATTACATATATGGAAAGAAAAACAAACTTTTAAAGTGTATATTTCATTTATTCTACCGTCTAACATCTAATATACCGGTAGGAAAAATAGGGTTAGACTATAATCTATGAATGAATCAATGGGACTTAAATCTTGGATTTTGGCATGAAATTTACTCATCCATATTGTGGTGGATGATATATATGTATATATTAACAGATATCAGTAGTATGTAACACCATTTGAAAGTGGAAAACCTGGCAGCGGAAGGCTAAGAAGATCAAGGTGATGAGGATAGAAAGAGAAATAGAAGGGAATTGTGAACTGAAAGAATCAAACAGAATGTAATAGACAAATGATGTAAATTTGCAAATCAAGTATTCCAAATATGGTTTTCATTATTTTACCAAGAGATTTTGCAATTTTGTATTTAAATACGACTGGTTGTTCCTACATTTATTCTTGTTCATTACAATATGACTAAATAACAATTCAACATTATAGCTTATGTCAACTCATAGATGGAAAATCTAATTCTTGGATCTGACTTCTAACTTTAAATCCCAATCCTAATGCCTCTTTTGACCCTATTAAGTAGGTGAATTTTCACAAGACCAATTTAAGGTTGCTCGAGCGTAGTCCATAAATTATGATTCCGCCAAAATAGAAATATTAATTTAATGGAGGGAATTTTGGGGATGATTTTAAAATGAAACTAATTCTCATTGCTAAGAACACTCCTCAAACGGAAAACCTGTGAACAATAGGAACCACTGAACAACTATTCCATTCTCAGTTAGTATTTCTCAGTAGTCCTCACTCGGGTTTACTCGGAAATTTTAGTCCCTGTAGCAAACAAAATAGCTTCACATTGCTCGGTTGAAATCCGAATGTACAAAAGTTTGAACTACTGACAAACAGTGATAGGGCACAATAATTATGCGGTGCTATTAATGTGCAACTAACTCTAGCAGTCAATAATGCTTAAACGATTTTGTTGATTCTTCAGTTTGTATGATGAAAACTATCTGATAATAATTATGAATAATGTAGTTTTACACAGAAAGAACAACCCTAGTTGTACAGCCATTGAAAGTTAGAAAGAACAGGATAATATTTAGGCTGTCTGCTTGAATATCTGGGCTACCTGTTCTTGTCATCTAGATGTTTCAATAAGTGATCTGTCTTTTTGTTTCAACAGATCACTATGTCAATTGTTTGCACAACCTATTCAGGTGCGTTTGTGAAAAGTTCACGACTTTTCGCTGTACAAGTTAGGAACGAGCACAATCAGAGACATTGTGATTGCTGGCAATATACATCGAAAGGAATGAACATTATTCAGACGTCGATTCCTGAACTGCTAACATCTAACTGGCGATCACTCAATGTTTATCGTCAGGATCGATCAAGAAATAAGAAACGGAAACCTGTTGAAATACTTTGTGATGAGAATTCTATATTTTTCCAAAAAATATAATATTGAATAAAGCTAATAATAATACTAGCACTTTGCATACACTAACCCACAAATAACCGCGTCGTAAACAATAGTTAGTTAAGTTTAATGTCTTTTGGTCCTGCATAAGTAAAATAGATAAAGAATAAACAGTTCTGATCAAGGAGATGTTTGTGGTGGTGGTGTTAAGCTATGTAAGATAGATGATATAATAGTTATCCAGAATCTAGACCAGAAAAATTAAAAGAACTGAAAACATGACATTGTGATCAATCGACAGTCAGTAGATAGATCTACGCAAATCTTACATATCAAGTTGCATGACAAAGACCAATCGACCACGTTATTGAAAGTCAACCTGTTACAATAGCGAACAAGAACAGGACAAATGATGACAATGGATGAAGCATCGCGCAAGGTCATGAATCGATTGAAGTTGTCAGCTCAATGATCTAAAAGTTAAGTGTTCGCGCACGAGACTGAAGGTCGTGCGTTTGAGTCCTTAGTGCAGGGTCGTGGATGTGCACAGCTGAGTATTCTCATACTGGGACGAAACAACCGTCTAGTTCTTAAAGATTTTCAATGGTGATATAGCTTGGATCTACTCGTGAATTCAACTGTGGAAATACTACAATTTCCACAAATCCCCATAATGATAATAATCATTTTCTCACAAGTGACTAGATTCAAGATGTATTAACTGAAGTTTTATTAGAAAGCTGTGAATTACGACGAACTGAATTGACGTTTGTAAACATCAAGTAGACAAAACGCTCATTTTCACATGAATTAAACGCCAGTATCCTTACCCGTGATGAAAATGTAAGCTTCGTCATTAAATTATTCAACTAAGAGAACTCCACAACAACCAAATGATCCACCCAAGTTACAAATCTTCTCTATCATTTCAGAGTAAGTTGTATAAAACAAGTATCTTCTTATATCACAAAAAACGTTTTAGTCATAATCAAAGGGGAAATTCAATTATGGTATTTAGTTAATTGTAGTTTTCCTTCTATTTAACTAATACAACCATATAAATGGATATTATTGATAATCATAGTGGATTAAAATTTTCTGAATTTAATATTTTGAATTAAGATGAAATATTCCCTGTGTATTGTGTGAAACAAAATAAAATGAATGATAGTTGAATACATGAATTGAGCAAAGCTAGATCACCATGGAAAACCTGGGATCAATCGATGGACCTTTCGTCTTACTATGGGACTCATCAACAATGCACGCCCATGATCTCGCATGAGGGATTCGAACCTTCATGTTCGGATATTCAGAAAAATATCCCAAAAATTATCATGTTAAGTCTAATGCTATCCTTGGACTTGAAATGGTATGATTTCCCTATTGGTCAATATTTATTTCACGTGTCATTTTCCTGTTGGCCAAATATTGTACAAATGTTACTTTCTATTTTATAGTAGGATGTGGTCTGCTTGATTGATATATAAACAGAGTATGTTTGGAATAAATGATTCATATCGTAGAGGCTGAGACTTGTGTTCTGGACTTAACTGGCTGAGCTAGGCGGAAAGCAGGACTAATCAGGACTCCAGGCTGCTCGCACGTGATTTACGCGTCATTGGTCCGATCGATAAGTCACTGCTCACTAATCGGAAGTCACGAGTTATAACAAACCTCTAGACTACTGAGCCAGTAGTCGACGGTGTTAATATCTAACTTCAATCAATTCACGATATTACATTAATCGACTATTAGATTACTACAATCTCCACAAAAACCCCCCAATCTGAAAATAGATGATAGTCATATGTTGATCTAATACACATAATTATGCATTTGTTCAACATATATATGTATACAATTGAATATATTTTTCGGTCAGTTTCTACCTTTTCTTATAATTGAAGCTTGTAATTAATGAACCTGTCCAGAAATTCCAATTGTTCACAATAAATACAACCATAAAATAATCGACTATTATGTTCAAACAATGAAATTTCATTCATTTCTCTTCATTAATTTAAATAATATTGTGATGTGTCTTATGTATGTCAACATAACTAATATATATATAGTATCAGGGCGGCCTGCTTGAGCATCTGGGCTACCTGTTCCTGCCATCTAGATATTTCAACAAGTTATCTATTGTTGTTTGTTTTAATATATCATTATGTTTATTAATCGCATAACCTATTCTGCTGCGTTTCTGAAAAGTGTACAACCTTTCGTTGTCAAAGTTACAGAAAACTCAATAAGAGACAATATGGTTGCTGGCAATGTACAACGAAAAGAATGTACATTATTCAGTTGTTCATTCACTGAAGTGCTAACATCTAACTGGCGATTCCTCAATATTTATCGTCAGGACCGACCAAGAAGAAAGAAACGGAAACTTGTTGAAATACTTTGCGCTGAGAATTCTATATTGTACCAAAATTATAATATTGAATAAAGCTAATAATAATAATAATGTCAATCAGGAATCGAATGCTTGTTAGAAGAAGGTTGACAAGATCGAAGAGTAATGAACAAGAACAGAAAGTAATTAGTATGGAAATGAAGGAATAATAAAGTCTGAAATAAGTAACCAATATTTTGTAAATGAAGTATTGAAGTATAGTTTTTCTATTTTATCATATAACTGTGTAATTTTGTGCCGAATATAATCGGTTGTCCTCATCTGTATTCTCGTTCACTACAATATGATTTATCTGTGAAAATCTCTCTTTATTAACTATTAACTTAAAAAATGTAGTTAGTGTAATCTATTCAGTGTAGTTATGAGAGTTGTTTCTGTTATATCTTAGTGAAGATTAGATTACGAGCAACTTCCGAGACTTATTAATGAACTAATATTATATATATATTCCTATTGTATAACTGATCAGTAACTAGATTATGTATATCTATATTCATCTTATTATAACCTTCATTTTGATCCATAGATTTTGAGATGGTGGAGAAGTTTGTGCTGATGATGTCGTTCAGAAGAACGATGAAAGCTCCACGACCAAACCATCCAGCTCAGAGAACAAAACACCACCAAGATCCATAGATTATTATTATACAATTACCTTTCTTAAGTTATACCCAACTTATTGATTACAGTCACCCACGTTCACAGTCACATTTTGGTTTGATCTTGTATAAATATTATTTCCTATTTTATAGTGTGATGCAATCTGTTTGGCTGGTATATCAATCAACTATGTTTGAAACAAATGATACGTATAGTGGACGCTGTTATTAGCGTGATGAGCTCAACTAGAAAGGCTAGGAGAACAAAGAGCCAATAAGGACTCTAGGCTGCTCATACCGCTCGAATGTCATTGATTCAACACATTAGTTAGATTTTTCAATTGGGTTTAATGTCACAACAAACATTTCTTCAATTAGTTCTATTCTAATTGTTATAAATCATTTCAAATTATGTAATATACAGTAGATTAACATATAGTACTACAAAATATACACATATACTTACTTTCTCACCTAATAGCTTATTTAAACGACTATGTGGAGGCGCTTCATAATGATATGCTAACCAGACTTGATTTTGATTGTTTTTAACATTTGGAAAATGACCATTGGTAATAATAACCATTTCAGCATAATATGAACGCCATTTTGTCTCATGAAGGACACAATTCGATACTAAACAACCTCGAAGTTCAGTATTGATAGGAACTGTTGTTTTTCCATAAATTACAATTTCTTTAATCTAAATAATATATTAATTAGAAGCAATGAAGATATTTAGTAAAATAATTATGTAATGAGTATATATATAGTTATTACTTCAGTTCTTTCGTCATCAGTGTCGACCACTTCATTATATATCATACCTCATTTTGATTGAGTTCTGTTCTCGGAGCTGAATGGTTTGATCGTGGAGCTTTCATTATTCTTCTGAAAGACATCATTGACACAAGCTTCAGATAGAAGTGTTAATGTTGTCGTTTAGAAGAACGATGAAAGCTGCACGACCAAACCATCCAGCTCACAGAACAAAACTCCATCAAAATCATCCACCTGAACTACATATCTTCTCCATCATCTCAAAATCATACCTCATTGTTACACCTTACTACATATATGGTTCTTAGCAGTTGGTGAGAACCCATGAAATATTACTGAATTTAAATTATTCTGATTTCATTGTTGTTGTCCTGGCATGATTCATATTCGTAAAACGAATCGACTACATTAAATCAGTAATATATTTTCTGGGGAAAAAACAGTATTAACTAATTCATATCTAATCAGCGTTAGTCGATACTTGGAGAACACCCTAGAATCTTCTCATGTAAAAACTATGAATATACTAACGTTTTTCCTATTGTGCTTCTTACTTCCATCTAACCTTGTTATTTAGAATATGAATCTCTTTCCTGTTGAATCATATTCTGATTTGGGGACTTGTTGAGTGAACTAATGTCCAAGAGTACTAAACAATAGGAATAGCTGAGTATAATAAGCAAACAGGTTGAATATTTTTCTCACTAATCCTAATCAAACGGAAGTTTCATTCTTTTTAGGAGATTTTTCTTCAATTTGTAAATAACTTTGAAAATGAAGTCAACTAAATAGAAATGAATTTTTATAAGACTACTGAGAATATAATCAGATTTGGTTGGTTATTACCAATGGAACTGAGGATGAATGGTTCACTTCGTTTAGGACTCGTCAGCTGGATATAAATATGTCATAAAGTTAATGTTTACTCCATATATGCGAAAGAGACTGGTCGATTACAGTTTTAAACATCAATGGAAAAATTCAAACAACTAATAAAAATCAATCTATTTGGAATATTCGAATCTCGCGGGGTGCGGGATCGTGGATACGCACTGCTGAGGAGTCCCATACTAGGACGAAACGGCATTCCAGTGCTTCCAGGTTTTCCATGGTGGTCTAGCTTCAAGTGACTCATGATTTCAATCTGTGAAATTTCTAAAAGCTCCACAAACCCCTTCTGAAAATAAATATTTGTTTGTATAACATTTATTTATTTGTATCAGAATGGGTTTTTGTGGATATTATAGCAGTTTCAATAGTTGAGATCATGAGTCAGTTGAAGCTAGACCACTATGAGAAATGTGAAAGCACTGGACGGCCGTTTCGTCCTATTGTGGGACTCCTCAGCAGTGCGTATCCACGATCCCACCTCACGAAATTAGAACCCAAGACCTACTTATTTATTTGCATTTTCGCGAGTGAGATCATGGATGCACACTGCTGAGGAGTACCATACTAGGATGAAACGGTCATCCAGTGGCTCCAGGTTTTTCATGGTGGTCTAGCTTCAATCAAATATATTCTCTATAAAACCCTCTGTCTGACATAACTTAATAATCAGTTAACATATTGAAATTGATTGAATATGTTAACATAATAGCCAACTAATAAATCGAGGACGAAGAATCTGTGGACACATTTTGATTTAAATAATTATTCTTTGTTAACGACCTATAACTCTCATCATAAAAATTAACTATCATTCAAAAATCATTCTTATTATATTTTCCTGTAACTTACATACTTGTAACACTTTCTAAGTTATATGAAATAAACAAATATAGATGCTTTTGAATAATTTTACATAACTGGTTTAACAAATATTTAACCATAAAGATAAACAAATTAACAGAATTTCATGTGTTACGTATGCCTAATCATTGTCTACCATGATAGGCAATTTTACATGTTGTAAAAATAAGTTGGATGGAATCCTTCGAGGTTCAAACAAAATATGGCATCAATCCATAAAGACGTCGACAGTTGGTTTGAGTCTTATTAATAGATGAAGACCACGTAGTCGGGGTACAAGAATTATACACGGTCACTAATGAACGACAATGAATATGATGTCTTAGATGGATTCGCATTCTATTTTGCTTTAAGTATTGAGTTCCATTATTCGTTTATACAATTTTTTTTTCGTTCAGCCCTTTCAAATTATATCCTTAACACTGAATCCGTTTTATTATCATTGCTGGTATTCACCTTTTTTCATTTCATCATGTTTTGCTAATATAATATGACAACCTGAACAAACATACATCTGTATCAGACACTTTGTTCATTACGACAGACAAACTAACTGATTGGCTAGCGTTTTTTTGTCTACACAAAATACTTCGGATCCATTGGTCAGACACATCAGCAACAACCTACTGTGGGAGAGAACAAACCAGATCCCAGTTGAGGAGGAAATCAGGAACAAGCACTAGAAGTGGATAACACACATATTAAGGAAAGCACTCAACCGCGTCACAACGCAAGCCCTCACTTGAAGTCCTATAGACCAAAGGAGAATAAGAAGACCAAAGAACACATTACACCGAGAAATGGAGACATATATGAGAAGAATGAACAACAACTGGATAAAACTAGAAAGGAAGGCCCAGAACAGAGTTGGTTGGAAAATGTTGGTCGGCGGCCTATGCCCCATTAGAAGTAACAAGCACAAGTAATTAATTAATTAACTAACTGATTGACTGAATAACAGTCAAATTTAAACTGAATATGATTTGGAGTATCTATCCATCTTATCGTATTTCTTATAGTTGACTTAAATAAATCACACTAAACATCTTTTTATTTACAATCCTTAATCAATTTTAATGATATATATATATATATATATATATATATATATTGAATTAAACTAACTTCTTCAGTGTTCAACTTGAGTTTCCCATTCATTAAATCCCTAAAAAAATACAAACATAATATCATATGGTGAAAAATAACAAAACATACTACTACTATTACCACTACTACCACTAACACTAGTACTACTACTAATACTACCACTACTACTACCACTACCACTATTACTACTATTATTACTACCATTACTACCAATACCACTATTACTACTACTACCACTACTACTACCACCACCACTACTACTACTACCACCACTAATACTACTACTGATACTACCACTACTACTACTACTACTACGACTTACCTTTTTAGTTCATAAAATGTTGAATAAATCTTTAATACTTCATGTATTCCATCATATTTATGTACAGAATATCTAATATATTGGTTTATAATGTTTATAATATTATACCTTTGTAATGAAATCAGTAGAATTGGAATAATTAATATACCTAAAATTATGTAATATCCATTCAATTTATTATAATAAATTTTATATTTAATCATTTTTTTTCTTAAATAAAAATCATTCATAACAATTTCCTATTTAATTAAAGATGATATAAAATGTAATTTGTTTCTAGGGTTACAAAGTTCATTTATTTTTTTTTTATTTATTATTAACCAATCAAAATGTTTAGATTAAGCTTGATTTCTATTGGTTAATTCATGAATGTGAATGAAAGAAAGTAAAACATAAGTAAATAATAGGTTAAGTATTCTATTATAATGATTTGTTAATATTATCCTTAAATTATAGGATAGATGAGAGATTGACTTCTCATTTTATTGATCAAAACTATTTCAATAATATATATGTATGAAACATTGTATGATATATAACCTAAGTTGAATAATAACTAATCATGGAATCCAAGACATGTGTCTTGTCCTATTAAGGATTCGTCAACTGGATGTAGTTACATCTCAGAGTTGATATACACAATAAAGTGGTTATCAAGACTCAGTAGCTAAGTGGATAATAAGATAAGATTTGAAGTTCAAGTTCTAGAGTGAATATCAACTATGGGATATAGGTACACCAGTTGATGAGTCCCAACTAGAATGAATCGTCAGTTGAATGTACTTTTATATTCAACAATTGATGTACACTCTGAGACTCAAATCTGGTACCTTTCACTTTAAACACCATCACGTTATTCACTTAGCTATTGAGTACTGATAGATACTAGCTCGTGTAATTTGGTGAAGTTGAAATTCAAGTGGAGTGAACATCAACTGTGAGATGCAGGTACATCCAGATGATGAATTTCAAATAGGATGAAACACGCGTCCTACATTCCATCACCAGCCACTATCCGTCTTTGTTTAAAATGCTTATGACTCAAGACAATATGGAGGCAATGAGTACAGTATGCATATATGCCAATAAGAGATTAATCAATTTCAATTCTGAACATCAATGAGAAGATTGAAGTAAACAATAGGAAGTGAATATTGTGATATATTTTGTTTATGTGTTTGATAGAATAAAGTACGTTATAAATGAATCATGAGTTTATAACTATTAGAATTATTCATGTAACTCAATGAATTGAAAGCATTGATTTCTGTTGCAATATGAAACTTCTGGTGATCAACAGAGTCACTTACACTAAAGAACAAGATATTAGATTTTTCACGAAATTATCAACAGAATCATCCTCAACATTTTCATTTATAATATCAAATTCTTTTCAGTTTGGAGACTATATAAAGGTATCCAAGCAAAATGTTCCTCATGTTTCCCATGTTCAGTGATCAAAATCTAGAATTATTCACCAAAATTACATATAAAAGCTTGAGTATAAAGCAACTCAATGGAATATCTGATTTTCTGATTTGTAACCAACATCAATTCGTTGAATTATTCTCTTTCATGAGTCTAAAATAGTTTATAATAGGAAAATGTTCTATTTATTAATCACTTTGGTTTATTATAAGGAAGAGAAGTGAATTTTTTCAGAAATTGTAAAATCCTCAAACAAGCTATCCAACTCTTTTTGAATTGTATCAATTGAATGAGTAAAAATTACGTCATTACGTCATTCTGAAGATTATGAACGAAGCATCAAGGGTTAATTTTAACAGTTAGGATGAATATCAAGCAATTAATGACATGACTTTTTAAACATTCATAAAGCAGACGATATAAATGAATAAAAACAAAAGAAAACGATCCTAGTAAGAGTCTTTCTTGTCGATGAATTCCGATAAGTCTTCTAGTTAAACGCTAGATTCGGTTCTTAAGCTGTTCTAGTAACCCACAGGCTAAATCTACACAGTGACTTGAACATGAAAGAAAAGGCACGAAATATGGAAAAAAACGCTTTACTCCAAAGTTCATTTATGTACCGAAAATCTAAGATTTTTATAGTATTTTAGATGGCCTTGGGTTTCTAGAAAATTCTGGAACGGTACTAAACATAGTAGTAGTATAGATAATTGTAGGGCCAGCGAAATGTCAATAAGCCCTAGCCAAATCATCCGGCAATTGGGTCATTGATTATCGAACAAATCGTCGATCCTCATCAAGGTCAGGGAGAATCAACGCGCATCAGCTAGTCGTATGCCATGGACTGGCCCATGCGGTAGTGGTCTCACTTTTGCTTGTATCTACTTCAACTAATATATTTCTGTGATAACGTCCTCTGTGTTGTACAGTCTTCAAAGCATCTATGGTACCGTGATACGTCAATGGGATAGTCCACGTAAGGTGCTGACCACAAGGTGTGCCTTCGACATTAGCTAGTTTGTCACACCATTCATGTCTAACTCGAGTAGGCCTCCAATCATTTCGACATAGATCATCTACGTTGGTGATCTACATAATCATCCAATCAGAAACTCAACATGTGACTTTTCACTTTCTAGATGTTTCTGGTAAGACTTATAGTGAATGCTGATTGCATAAGATGTTTCTCAGAGTTTTCAGAGCCTTTTTGGCATATGTTTTTGAGGAGTTTTTCTGGATCTACCCAACAAATTCATTTTTTACTCAATTCTGTCGTGAATATTTACTTAGCTCTCAAAAAAGATAACGAATAATATCTCTACTTTTATAAATGTATAACAAATATTACCCTCATGCTAAAAACAATGACATTTGACTTCAAATGAGAATTATTGTTTCAACAGAAAACTAAACTTATAGAAATTGTATCGGAAAGTTTATCCTTCACAATATGGAATTGACCTATTACATCGTACATGACATTAATAGCTAAATGAAATCTTAATATTTAATTTGATCAAACTGCTAATATCACTTTTAATTCATAGTTTAGATATTATGAAAATTTGTTTTGAATTCATTTGAATGTACAACTTTATAAAGGAATTCACTGTTCACTGAACTACTTTTTCTTATTTTTAAGTTTGGATGAGAATGTTCTATTTTGCTTATAAATTAGTTATTTCCTATGTAAAATAGAACAAATCTCTGAGTGAATATGCTCCTCATAAATTGTCCCCTGAACACCCCTAAATGCCACCTATATGCTTTTGTGTGTGTACTATCTTTCTGACCGCAAAACTTTTTTGATGTAAATTGGTCATCAGTGAACAAATAATCTTCCCACAGATTATTCACATTCACAATCAGGAGGGCTACAGCATTCATTTTGGTCTATATTATGGTATATATGGTAGAAGTATTAGGCAAAACTTAATAATAATATCAAACTTGATCAACTTTTAAACTGACCGTGAGGGAATTCAGACTATTCTTGAGTCAGGACATCGAAATGAATGACTAATGTAACGAAATAAAATAATTTACAGAGAACATATCTCACTTACATGATTAACAGACTATTCTAAGTAAGTATGGATTCCTAACCATTATCGTCTAAGGCCAGGAATGAGGTAGACCATCTCTATATGTAAGTAAAAAATCTTAATGATCAGTTACTTGGTAATTAGTACAATATAACCCAATATCTGAATGTGATCAGTAAAAACGAATGCCAACAAGTAAAACATGAAACTAAAAAAAAGTATCGAATATTTGGGATGTGGTTAGCATTAGAATCCAGGGTGGGAGGTTCGTTCTATTAGGGACTCATCATCTGAATGAACATGCATCTCAGGGTTAATATTCACTCGAGGACTCCAACTCAGCTTCAAACACCATCGTGTGATCCACTTAGCTACTGAGATAAGATAACCACACGCTTTTGCAACGGGTATACATTAAACCAGTTCTACCGTCCTCCCGATTGAGGTATTGTACTTGCAATCTCATCATCAATAAGCACATAGCAATGAAAGTGATGATTGGTCGTGGTAAAAAGTATGTGTGTACTCAGAAAGCCAAATGGGATGAAGTAACTCATCGATTTTTATCTAAATGAAATCTGTAGAGTGACAGCAGGTTTCTACGAAACTTTTCAGATAAGAAAACACTTATCAATTATGATGTTCTGAATCAGGACTTCTAAGCAGTTCACAGCCCCTAAAATGTGGTTTTTGAACTGTTGGCTAAGGAATTCCAATTTACATATTTTCGGTCAGTAGTGTCAGTTAATTAACTCTGGCTTGCGGAGTTTGAACCTCTTAAAATCAAAGAGCATGAAAGGTGTTCTGGCCTAGGTACACCCACAAGCTTAAATGGCATCCGAAGAAGGGGTGAACCATCATTGCTTCCCTCCTGCTACTACATCTAAGTGGTCCTAGTCAAAGGTAAACTACCTTCTGACTGGAGAGATGGAATGGTCATATCGGTACACAAAGGAGAGAACCTGATTACTACCAACCAACTTCCTTGTTCTCTCTAATACTGAAGTCCACTCCGAAACTGCCCTCTCATTTACTCTATTTTCTCTGGTTCTCAGCATCACTTAAACCTTTTACATATTGTAATACAAACCCAGTCACATATTAGAGAAGTTAGATAACCTCATTGGAAAACGATTACACGGTGAATGCTGGTACCTTAGACGTGTCCAGTTCATTCATCGAGGTTGACCACCACATCCTATCACAGAGGCAGAGTTCTACGGGCGCAATGGTGATTTGGGTTTTGGGTCATCTGTATGGTTATTATAAGCAGTCGTGGTTTACCATCAGACTAGTCATCTATGACAACTGATGTGCCAAAAGGCTCAATTATTCAATTAGTAGTCGTCTTAACTCTTTTGATTCTCAAATCCGTCTTTACCCAAGTAATCGTTGAATCTGGAAGGGGGTACTTAAACAACATGATGCCATGAATCTTCATGAAGATTTATGTAAAACACTAAATCGTACTGCTGATAGCCTCCTTTCCCTATATAACAATAAATGCAGCAGTGAAAATCTACCCACCATGGACTTCATGGGATATTCCAGTATCATACTTCAACCAGTTAAATGACCTGACCATCACTAACTTCCTATTGGTATTCTGAAATCAATACAGTATGCTCACTTTCCGGGTTTACTTTTACTACAGTCGGTCTGACTCTAGAATTATTCGAATCTGTTTTCAACATTTATCTCAGGAAAATCGTTCTGTATATTCTACT